ATCTAAACACTCTCATACTTAGATTTAATTAATTTTTCATTTGTCTTTTCAAACATCCTCCTTACACATGCTCCTCACTTCTTTCAAGCTCTCAGGTAGTGAAGTTTCTCTATTGTCAAGTTTCTCTTTAAACTTTTCTCTGATCTTTAGTGTGGTTGTTGTTTCTTGTTTCCTCTGGTGATGCGTGTAGGTTAGTCAACTGTTCTTGACTAAGACCTGGCAGACTGAGCTGTAGTCTAACAAGGATCCTGTGCCCTCAGGTTAGTATGGTGTCAAAAAGAATCAATTTAATTCATTTTTCATTTGTCTTTTAAAACATCCTCCTTACGTGTGCTCCTCACTTCTTTTGAGCTCACAGGTTAGTCAACTGTTCTTGACTAAGACCTAGCAGACTGAGCTGTAGTCTAACAAGGATCCTGTGCCCTCAGCAATTCCGCCCAAGTACTGCACGTTCTTTCTTAGTAGGAGAAAGGATTATTGGGAAAGGGTTTGTCTTGCAAGGGTGCTTGTATCTTATGATGATGATGATGATGATGATGATGATGATGATGATGATAATGATGATGATAATGATAATGATGATGATAATGATGATGATGATGTATGGTTAGATTGTACAGTGCCCTCCAAAAGTTTTACGTACAGTTTTGTAAATACAGCTGTGTGTTGAAGTACTAGTGCTACAAATAAGAGTTCAATACAATATCACACCGTCTCCCATCAACACCAAATCATGAAGACACGATCCCTGACATCCGAGGAGAGGGCTGAAATAGTTGGGGCAAGGAAGTCTGGGCTCACAATGGGTCAAATTGCAAAGAAACTGAACCATCCTCGATCAACAGTTTCAACAGTGCTTTCAAACTACCAAATCCATTTTGTTTGGATTGTATGCTCGATGTTCTTTACATCTGGAAGTACCATCCAGGCTTAACTCTGATAACAGTGTATCAAACTTAAGCTGTTCGGGAGGGGCGCCGCTGGCGGCCGCCTGATTTTGCGTGGGAAAGAAAATTCCCGTTTCGCGAAATCAACCGGTCACGACATGCCTGGGTGGGCTGGGTGGTAATTTTTGAACGTAAAGAACTTAAGCGATGAGGTGTGAATCTTTCTGATGTGGTGCTAGGACTGAGCGGGTGGTGGACGTCTGCTGCTAGGAAAATTTTCTAGCCGCGAGTTGTCCAACCTCCTAGAGAGGTTTCACCCGCTATAAGCATATCTGCTGCCCCACATCTGTACACCTCCCTCAGTCATGGACTTCCGCACCAAGTCGTGCCTTGGTTGGTGCTTACAATCCATTTTGTTCGGATTGTATGCTCGATGTTCTTTACATCTGGAAGTACCATCCAGGCTTAACTCTGATAACAGTGTATCAAACTTAAGCTGTTCGGGAGGGGCGCCGCCGGCGGCCGCCTGATTTTGCGTGGGAAAGAAAATTCCCGTTTCGCGAAATCAACCGGTCACGTCTGTTGAGATAAACGCTGCAGTTGGGTTGCTCGGTCTACCTGGCTGCTGAGACTTACTAGTAAGCCTCAGCTCACTGAGCCTCCCAACTGCTTTCGGGTGAGTCTCGGCAGCGTGTTTGTTGTTTACGATGTTTACTTTCTCTCCGCTTAACTCTCCTTGGCGTTCTCTCTCTATGGCTCGCCTCCACTCAATTTCCGCTTTGGCTCTCTGTGGCTTTAGCTCGAAACTCTATTTCTGCGCTTCTCCATCTATGCTTTCTTGATGTATTGTGCATAAACTTTGATTCCTCATTCTCGGCTCTGATTCTCATATGTACATCCTTACGCAATTTAATCTAAAACCTTCTTTCAAGATCTGTCCGTCAGCCCGTTGGGGGAATCATCCTCTTGTTGATCCATCTTGCTTCTCCTCCTGAGCTCCCGCTTCTCGTCCAAGATTTCTTCGGTCAACTGCCCTCAGCAGTAATTTTGTTTCCTCCAGGTCTTCTTTCGTATATTCTTTTAGGTAGAGGTCTACTGCTTTCGATTCCCACCTTCCAATTCTCATGATTTTCTCCTTACTCCATCCTAAATTCCATCGCAGTGACGCGCCTCCCACTCTGAACGAGTGTCCCGACCACAGACCGTCTTTGCTGCAGCTCTTCCCCCAGATTTGGCTTACCTTTCCCATGAAAAGCTCTTTCCACATCGGCTGCCTGTCTTTCCCCGCTCCGATTCCAAACAGCGCATCCGTAGCCTTCTTCCCCGGGATCTTCTCTATCAACCTTTCCAACGCCGCTACTGGGTCCATCACCAATCTTTGTCTGTCCAACCTGCCCCCATATCAGAGCTCGTCAGTCACTCTTTACTTAGGAAATTCTATATTTCCCATCTCCTCACCTCACTTCTTGCATTTGGCCAGGTTTTGCGGTTTTTCCTCGCCACAACCTTAAGAATGCCACTTTCGTCTCTCCTTCTCCTTCGAAGTGTAGGTCTTCTACCAGCAGCATGCCTTCTCTCCTTGATTGCCTCGTCAATTCTCCTAGTCGCATTATCCCCCAGAATGCCACCAATGCCGCTGTCGATATCAGCTCTTCTAGCTCGTCCTTGCCTGCGAAGTTGAAAGTTAAGTGAAGTAACTGTCGTATCATCACGGGGCTCTTTCCTATGCTTGATGCGCTTTCTCCATCTTTCTGTAGCATCAACTGTTCCTCCGCTCTCTCTACCGCCCGTAAGATTCCTTTTATCATTGTCTGATCTAGTTCTGGCGGTTGTAGCTGCGTTGCCATCTGCCATGATTGTAAGCCGGCCAGGTATTTCTCTAGAGTCTTCGCTCGCACGACTCTCTTCGCTGACGCCTCTTTCTTCGCCGGTGATGCTCCGGCCCAGATCAGGAACCCGTATACGTCTTTTGCCGTTAGCGGAATTGCGTTCTTCCAGTCGGCTCCTCGACTTTCAATGTATTCTCTAAACTTTGTCACGGCGCTGCTGTAGCCTCGTAGCGTTGATTCGGCCCATGTGCCTCCTACCATGTGTCTCGCCACCTGTAAAGTTTCTTTGTCCTCTATCTCCTCTTCTATCCTCGCAAAGCTAACTTTTTTCCTCCCCATTCCTTTCGCTTCTTTCCTAACTCTCTTCTAAGAAGTCTTGCAGGTCGGCTGGCAGTTCGAACCTTACTCTGTCGCGTTCTTCTTTTGTGTCGTCTGTGTTTCTCGAGAGCGCGTCCGCGTCGTTGTCTTTGGACATTACCCTCTGTTCTTCCAGGTCGCAATCTAACTCCGCCAGTCGGCGCTGAATCATCCGCCATTCCTGGTTCACTGCGACATGTTTGGACTTCATGTTTCGCACCACTGCCTCGGCTGTGGTGTTGTCCGTCAGGAAGAGTATCCTTTGGCCTTCGACGTCTCTTATTCTGGCTACGATTTCCAGCCCCAGTCGAATCGCCACGGTTTCAGCCCATGCGATGTCTCTCTTCACCCCTAGCGCGTTCGTTTCGTTCCATTTTGCCTTGAGCTTCCACCGGTTCCAGTGCCTCCCTATCATTACTCCTACTCCGTAGTCAGTCGACGCGTCTCCTACCCAGCCGACGTCCACCGCTTCTCTCTTCGGCACTACCTTCCTATTCTTGAAGTCTTTCAGGACCCTTTTCCACTCCCATAGGTCGTCTGACACGTTCCTCGGCATCTTCCTCCTTGCCAATGCGTTCTTCCAGCTCGCCATCCACGCGTATAGGCTTGTGCAAAAGCACCTCATCTGCGGGATTATGTTCGTGATGTGTACCAGTCGTCCGGTGAGTTTCTCTACTTCTTTCAAGGTCAGTCCGTTTTCCTTCGTCAGGGCCTTGTCTACTTGTTTCTTCCTCATTTCCAACTTCTCTGCAGGTAGTCTGATTGTTTTGTCTCTTCCATTCCAGATAAACCCGATGTATTTTTGCTCTACATTGAACTCGGCGTGTTTCCCTTCATTTGTTTTGACTCCCAGTTCTGCGCTCAATTCGACCACTTCCTTCATCAACACTTTCCTTTTGTCCGCCTTCTTCCTGACAAACAAATTGTCGTCTACCCAACGGAACACGGCCATAAATTCGAAGTGTCTCTTCATTATCTCCTTCCATGTGTCTGCTGGGCCTCCAAAGCTGCCGCATCCTGCCACTCCGCCGAAAGATACTCGTAAGTCGAAATAGATTTCTCCTTCTGTGCCTCTCACCATCAGATACCTCCACTGTGAGGGGTGAATGGGTATTTGACGATACGCTTTCTCCCAGTCAAATATCCCAAATTCGACCTCTTCTTCCAGCTCCATCATGAATCGCAACACCTTTGCGAAGTCGTCCCAAGTAGTCTCGAAGTCTGTTTTGTCCATGAACGAGTTCACCTATGGGATTTCCTTGTTGTTCTTTGGGAACGAGAGATTGTTTATGATCCTGATTGATCCGTCTGCATTCACGACGCTCCCTATTGGGCTTGTCCTGAAGAATCCTAGCCTCCTCTTTATTTCGTCTTCGGTGTATGGTCCCCTCATGCGACCTGCGTCGAGTTCTTTTTCGATTTTTTCTTTTATGACCTTTCTTTCTGCTTCCGTTCTCGCGTGGTTGTCCGGTGAGTAGTATTCTCTCCCCGCTAGGCGGTGTTCCGGTATTCCTTGGTGAAAACCGATCACGAATCCGTTGATGATGTCTGTGTGTTTCTTCTCTAGCTTCAGTCTCTCTGCTAGCTCTCTCCACTTCTCCAAGTTCATCTCGCATGAGACTCGCTCCGGCCATGCTCTATTTGGTCTAAACATCTCCGTGTTCTGCTCTCTCTTCTGCTGCTGCTCACGCTCCTGCGGGGAAGTCTTGGGTCTGCTCGGGCTGCTCGCTTTGGGTGTGTTACTTGTTTTGGGATCGTGTGGCAAGAAAGGATCGGGCGAAAGAGGGGGTCAAAACCAAGTTGTAAGTCAAAATCTGTTCTTTATTATTTCATTCGCGCGCTTTCCTCTCATAACGTGCTTCTCTATGACAGACAAAAGGTGGATGGAGCGGGCGTACAACACATGTACAACTTGGCGGAGACATGATTATGGATAGCGTCTGTGGAATAATTGGAGCCTTTTTGGGGAAACAAGAGAGATTGTAGGACAATGGAGGGGATCGGAGGTAGGGAAGCATCTTTTCTGGAGTCTCATATCTGGTCTCTTTCCTTTTGTCTCAACTCACTGCGTGCTCTTTCCTGCTGCGCTTCCTTTTCCTCCTCCGCTTCCTCCGTACGTTTTTCCCCCGGCTCCTCCTTGACTTCCTCCTTCTCCCATAGTCGCGTTTGGAGTGTACGCCCCGCTGTGGCTTTGGTCTGGCCAGTTCGTTGTGTACCCGTTGGTGTTGTTGTGAGGGTATCCGTATCCCCTGTGCTGTTGGTACGCGGTTGGGGCATAGGGTTGGTGATGCTGGTTGGGGGGATAGGCTCCGTATCCGCCTGGCACGTAGTGGGTGCTGTGGGACGCTCCGTAGTGGCTCTGGTAACTTCCCCGGTTTGGCCAGTTGCCTCTGTTTGGCCTCCTTCCTCGTCCTCTCCAACCTGTCTCATTTCCTCCTCTCGGGCCAGAGGTCTCCCGCTTGACGTGATTGGATGCGGCGAACTGTCTCTTCTCTGCGCTCGTGGTGGATTGTGCCTGCACGTGAGAGTCCATCGTCTTCTGCCCCGTTGCATATGGGTTCTCTGTGAAGTTTCGTTCTCCAGCTGATTCCGCTTTGTCCTTTGCCGCTCTCAGAAGGTCTTCCTGTAGTGCTCCTGCGTTGCACATCTCTCGTTTTCCGGACTCTCCTATGACGATCTGCATCAACAATCTCCTCACCTACGTGTGTGTGCAAATGTTTTATCAATATTCTTTCCTTGCATCTTCCTGATGGGATGTCCTATAGGATTGTCTCTTACTTTCATGCAATAACGCAATGCTATCATCCAGCATGCCGTTGATCTCCTAATTTCAATCACGTTTTCTTTGTGCTTTTTCAGCATTTTGGCGGTCGTTTGCATATGGTACCGCTCTTCAACGTATCTGATAAAGAGGTCTATCGCATCTATCCACTCGCCGTAGGTAAGTAGCAGTTCGTCTTTCGGGGTCAGACCTGTGTAAGTTAACACCTCGTCTCCCTCTTGCAGCTCCTTCATCGACTTTGTCTTCTTGGTGCTTGCTTTCTCGTAGTCTTTGTCTATCCATTCGAGGTTGAAAACCGTCAATGGAACATAGGCTTTTAGCTTCGTCATCCGTTGATGGATGCCTGAGGATAGTTGCAAGAGGTTCGTGTTTGAGAATTGTTTGTCGATGAACACTATCTCGCTTTCTGGGTCCACCATGTCTCTGATGTCTCTATCTTTCCTCTTTGACTTGGGTGGCTTCTCGCTCTCCTCTTCTCTAGCTAGCGGGACCTCTTCGGTATTGCTTCCTCCGGCTATCAGTGACATCGATCTTTGCCGTTTCGGTCGCGGGTCGCTTTGCGAGTCTGGGGTTGACTCCACCCTCTGCATTCTGTTTTATCTTAGAGCTTCTGGATCGTATGGGGGGTCACCATACATCATCGTGAAGCCGTGCATCATCGCTCTTCCTAGTTCCAGGTCTCCTCCACCGTATGCTTCGACAATGGATTTCCACCATAGGTCTTTGCTTCTGTCGCCTGGTGTGCCCGGTTCTGGTAGGGCTGCGGCTGTTGCAAAAAACGGGGTTTTTCCCGATGCAAGTCAGTTCCTGTTCTCTGCTTCTCTTTCTACTTCTTAAGCTTGCTACGCTTGGTTGCTGAGGGGAGCTCTTCATTTTCTCTTCCTCTGACCAGATTTAGCTCTGTCTGCCTCGACTTTTGTCGGATGGTTTTCTTTTTCCATTTCTCGGGATTTAGCTCCCTGTTGCCTTGGCATTGCCGGTAGAGTCTCCTGTGAGTGGTTCTCGTCTCTTTCTGTCCAAGGATGTAGCTCCTGGTGCCTCAGCTCAATTGCTGGAATCTGACTTTGTGTCTTGTTATTTATCATTATTTTATAGATAGAAATAGAGAAAATAGAGATAGAAATAGAGGGGGAAATTCTGCGGGGTGGTGTTGTCTGACTTTGGACCGGTTCTTACCTTTAACCTTTATCCTCACTCTTGTGCCCGAGTTCTGTTCCTTCTGGCTTGATCCGCCTGCTTCTAACTCTCCTGGGCCTTTCCCCTTCTCTTCTCTCTTCCTCTCTCCACTGCCGCTCTGTTCCGTTCCACCTTGATTTCCCGTGTCTCCTCCTGTCTCGTCTTCTTCGTCGGGGCTCCTACTGTCTCTTCTCTCTTTCCGCCGCTCTTCTCCTGTCGAGGTGATGTTTGACTCTTCTTCGTGTTCTCCTTCTTTTCCTCTCGACTTGCTTCTTGTTCCTGGTCCTTTTGCGCCTGCCTTCATCGCTTCCTCTGCTCTTCTTCTCGATTCTGCTAGTTCTTCATCAAAAGTTGCCATCTCTTTTTCCTCTTTGTTGTTTTAAAGGAGTTGATGTTGTGTCTTCGTGGCGTGCTGTCTTCCAATGGTTGCGGTATTTCAAAATTTAAAAGGAAAAGTTTTTTGAACGTAAAGAACTTAAGCGATGAGGTGTGAATCTTTCTGATGTGGTGCTAGGACTGAGCGGGTGGTGGACGTCTGCTGCTAGGAAAATTTTCTAGCCGCGAGTTGTCCAACCTCCTAGAGAGGTTTCACCCGCTATAAGCATATCTGCTGCCCCACATCTGTACACCTCCCTCAGTCATGGACTTCCGCACCAAGTCGTGCCTTGGTTGGTGCTTACAAAGAACGCCACCACCAACCCTCAGAATCACGCTGGTAGACCCAAGAAGCTCACCGATCGCGATTGAAGAACTCTAAAACAAACCTTGAGGAAAGATAGGCGGAGTACACTTTTGGAAATCTCAGCTCAGATCCCAACTCGAGTCTGTCATAACACTCTTAGAGCCAAGATCAAAGGCCTTGGTTTCAATTCTTGCATTGCAGTCAAAAAGCCTTACCTGAGTGCTCAACATCGTCGGAAACGATTAGGTTTTGCTCTAGCATACAAAGATTGGACGGTGGAGGACTGGGAACGAGTGATTTGGACTGATGAGTCATCATTTGAGATTGGAAAGATGTCAGGCCCAGTGCGAGTGTGGCAAAAGAGTAATGAAAAGTTTGAATTGGATTGTCTCACCCCAAGTTTCCGAAGTGGTCGATCTTCAGTCATGGTCTGGGGTGCTTTTACTTCATTTTGCAAGCTTCCTCTTGTCTTAATTCCACCTGGACAACGTTCTTCTTCCGACTTCATCTCGATTGTCTACGAGCGGGCTTTGAAACCTTTTGTGACCCATCCTTGCTGTCCTTCTAACCTCATCTTGATGGAGGATGGTGCTCCAGTTCATCGGAGTCAGGCTTCAAAGGAATGGCATGCCAGTCATTCAATCCTCAAGTTGGACTGGCCTGCAAACAGTCCGGATCTCAACCCGATTGAGAACCTTTGGAAGATCCTCAAGAGCTCGATTTCCAAGGAAAAGCGACCAAAGTCTCAACAAGAGATGTATCATCTTCTGGTGTCTGAGTGGATGGCTATCCCAGAAAGCAAGCTCAAGTCACTTGTTGCTTCAATGCCTGAACGGATTCGAGCGGTGATAAAAGCTAAAGGGGGTGCAACTTGGTGGTGATTCTGCTTTGATTCTACTGCAATATGTTGTTCTAAATACATAGCCTGAGCACTGCCCATAGTGAGAAGAATGCTTAGAAATGCATTGCAAAAAAGTTTGTCATCAAGAGTGTAGTTATTGGTCCCTTTGAAACATTTTTGATGACCCTACATACAGAGCAGATGTGCACTATACGTAAAATTTTTGGAGGGCACTGTACCATGAAGAGAAAGGGAAACATCATGATACGTCACAGAACATCTAGACCCTGTTTACAAGTATAAGCATATCCTTATATTATGATCTAATATGTGATCATAACAGACTGACAGCATTTCAGTGTGCCAGATTAAGGCCCTCCAGAATCTTTGCCATGACAGTTGATGAGCCAATCCTCTTGAAACAATGAAACTCATGCTTTTGTTTCCTTTGAGACTTTTAAGGATGAATGAATAAAGACTGTTCAACCTATGATTTCATTCACAACATCAGAGGCGTTAAGGTACCATGGTTCACTCATAATCTACACTCTAAGAGCACCCACTATGGTTGCGTTAACTCGGTGATTTAGCGTTACCCTAACGCTAACGCTAAAATACCAACAGGTCCACTATGGACCTGTTTTAGACCTGCGGTCCGTACGGCTGCGTCAAGTCTTGCACTTCGTGTGCTCAGATTTACGCAAGCCAACGACTTGATTTATCGTAGGAACTAGGGAAAGCAGACAATAAATCATCCCATAGTGGATTTCATGCGGTTACCAACTTTGGTAAAACATGCATGATCAAACTTTGCGCTCAGGAACGAAAACTTTACGATAAAACACTCCCACCATAGTGGGTGCTCTAAATCACAACAACTTCAGACCCAAGACTGTTAAGACCAACCACATTATTAGCCTTCAACTGGTCCAAATCAAACACCTCATTGATCAGTCCATCAAAACTATCATCAATGATGATTTTGATGTCCACAGTTTCTACAGAGTAAGCCCCTGCCTTGAAGATTTCAAAGTGGTTGGGTTGAGACTGAGTGAACAACTAAGAATTGACAGGTTCATTAACCCAGTTGTCTTCTGTGATTGAAACTCAGCCTGAGCCCCGACCCAAAAAACACGGGTAATGGCCTACCCGCACCCCAAACTGATACTCAGTAGGCCCCCCCACACCCAAACCCTACCCAAACCAATCAAAACCCGGCTTCCAGAAGGCCCCCTGACCCCTATCCCAAATGCCTAAAACCCGCAGGGAGCCAGGGGTCCCTGCGGATAAGATTGGGGGTTTGAGGACTAGGCCCCCCCGCCCTCAAACCCTACGGGGCCCCAAAAAAGGTGACCAAACCTGCACCCCAAGGGTTTGGGGCTCTGGGAACCCTTGGGGTGTTGGTTTCAGGGCTCAGGCTGAATTGAAACCAGGGTATCTTTTGAGCACTTGATAATTGACTTTAAGACCTTCATTTGATTGTCTTGCTTTGAAAGGTCCATACGAGTCAATGAGAGCATCCTCAAAAGAACCACTCCTATCCTACTTCAGTGCTCAGTCTTTGGTACAGAGATCTGAGAGACCAAGGTCTGAAGCCTGCCTTCATAGGGAACCAACTTTAAAACTCTGATGATAAGTCTTTTCAGAGGGTTTGCTTGAGAGATTGATGACAGAGTAGATCAGTAGTCAATAAGTCTGTTAACTGAAAAGTAAGAAGATTTAATGCTTAATGTCTTGTAAGTCTCTGACATCAGCTCTTCCAGTATGTAAGAATGGTAGGTTTTGTGTATGAAGTTTTTTTACTAATTCACCAGATTCTAACCCTAACCTACTCTTGCCTGAGCTGGTGCACCAGACCTTTTTTGAAATCCAGCTGGCACACCAAGATCTTGAGTTTGTGTTTTTGAAAAATTTGGGCTTAAAATCTACTTACTATAAGGCCTGTAAGAAGGTGGATGGACCAAAGGGGTCAAGTCTGGAATCATTAAATTGTGTAGCGTAGTACTAGCTTATGGAGGTAATATTTTGAAGACAAGTCTATGTAAGAGAGTGTAGTATAAATCACACCATTTGAAGGAGATTTGATTTATGATTTGAATGAGAGATGTAATTTGATGAGATGAAGATAAAAGATTAAAGATGAAGAGATGTGGAATGAGAAGATATGAAATTAAATGAATGGATGAGATGAAGACTTAAATGATGGAAAGGTGGCTTGATTGACAACTTTGAATATAAATGAACTTCCAAAAAGTGATATGATATGATATCATCTGATAGAATTAAATTTGAACAGATCCAAAAGAACTCATCACATTTTTGTATGACTATGTGTTGGTATGTAGATCATCAACCAATTTGGTAAAAAAGTGATCGTTCTTGAAATCGTAATCCCTTGGATGACGACATACAACAAGAATGACGATGATAGATTAATTTACACCATTCAGATTCGGATTTGAAAACACACACACACCGACTGACAGACATCAAGAAATCCAGATTGAGATCAATACAAATCTGAATCAAATCAAATCGATGACCGATTTGAAGCCATAATTGATTTTAATCAAAGAACTATATGATACATACTACAAATCAATTACAATCTCCATCAATCATAGAAACTTTCGAATTTCTTCTCAGAATTTCTCTTTTACCACAAAACTACAAGAAGAAATTACTTAGATAAATTACAAGAAGAACGAGGATTTGATTAAATTTGATTTTCCAAATCACAACACCAAAAAGAGTGAATGAGAATTCCTTAAATGAAGTTTAAATGATCAATCGTCTTTTTTGATTTCGATTTTGATGATTTTTTATTTTTTTATTTTTTGGTTTAGGAATCGAATCGATCGATCATCAAGTTTGATTATTCACCAAAAAGAATTTCGAAAGTGAGTGTTTAATGTTTTAACTTTTTTTTTGAAATGATGAATCTCACGAATCCGATTGATGGTATGTAGTAGAAAAAGATGATGATGATGAGTAATGATAGTGTTGAAGGAAAGATTAATGAAAACTTAAAGAAAGAAGGTAAGTGGAGTGAATTGAATTGATTTGACTGGATGAGCAAGATGATTTGAAATATTGAAGATTGCTATTCGTAGCAGCATTATCATCATCAGAAAGAAAATTTAAAATCGAAATTCAAACTTCAAATTCCAATCAGTCAACACTACTACTCAACAAGAAATATCAACTATCAAACAACCAATCACCTTCTTCAACTTCAAAATATTCAAAACCAACTTCAACTTCCACTTCAGATACAAACTCAAGTTCAGGTTCAAGTATCACTTCACCCATTCAAATTAGAAAATTACAATCTCATTCAACTCTAACTCAATCTCCTACTTCTTCTCCTTCTTCTTCCCTAACTTTACCGCTACCTTCACCTTCTTCTCCTCATTCTCCTGGTTTCTTTTCAAAATCAACTTCTAGAGCTAAACGTTTATCTTCCTTAGTGCTTTCTTCTACTACTTCAACTTCAAATAGATCTCAATCTATTTCTATTTCAAATCCTACTATCATCAATACTACTAATACTAATCTGATGCATTTATCTGATTTAAATCAACTTCATCAACCACCACCTCCACCACCAATACCAGTACCAGTTCAGTATCAATCTCAATCTGATTCTGATTCTAATTTATTCAACTCAACCTAACCTTTTTCAATTCTTTTTTCGGTTTGTTTTAGCCTATCAATACTTCATCACCACTCGATCCATCAAGACCTTCAATCAGTAATGCAACCATCATCCCTTCATCATCTCAATCATTCTCATCAGCTTCAAGTTTACCACCAAACCATTCATCGAACCCGAACCAACCAGGATTGGTTCCTATCGATTTTGACGAAGGAGTTTTAAGAACCTTGTGTAATTTAGAATGTGGATTACCATTGATCTTAGACCGCTTAAAACAAGCGATCGGATCAGCAAGAGAGGTGTCAAGTTTTTTAAAGAAAAAATCACAATTAGAAGAAGAGTATGGACAAAAGTTAAGTAGGTTATCTAGATCGACCTTGGAGATTTATAATCATTCGGGTGGAGAAGTCAAATCAGGTAGTTTTTCCAATCAGTTTCGAAACTTTTTGTTTGTACATGAAAAGATTGGATTAGAACGAATCGAACATTCAATAAAGGTAGCAAACGTATCGGATGAATTATTAAATGTATCAAAAGAAGTCGAAAGGGTTCGAAAATCGAATAAAGATATCGGATTTAGGTTAGAGAAATCTGTGACGGAAGCTGAGGCGGCAGCTGAGAAGGCTAAGTTGAAGTTTGAGTTAACGGCTGAAGAGTTGGAAAAGATGTTGATTGCGAAGAATGGAGGTGGGAATGAGATGATGGGATCTCATCATCCTTCAGGTCATTCGGGAAGTGGTTCAGGTGGTGGGGGTAGTGGAGGTGGTCAATTGATGACCAAAGCGATTTCTAAACTAACAACGAAATCGGTCAAATCAGCTGGTCAGTTGGCTAAGATGGAAGAAGAAGCGAGGGCGAAAATGTCAAATGTCTCGGATCTTTATAGAGCTCAAATCTTGGCGACTCAACAAGTTCGTCAAGAGTATTTTAATTTACAATTACCTAGGATCTTAAGAGTAAGTGATTTGAAAGCTTTTGAAGAAGAAAAAAATCGTCTATTTGTGTTTTGAATTGTTTTGTGGGTTTTTTTTTTGGTTAGACACTTAAAGAACATTCAGATGAAATCGATTTAGGAATCCAATATTATTTAACCAACTATGTTACTCAAACCGAATCCATAGTTTTAAATGAAGCATTATCGATTTCAAGTTTACCAACTGCATCAGATCAAGAACCAGCCCATCAATCCTTATCATTCCAAATCAAATCGATCGATAACCGATCCGATTTCAAAGACTACATGGCCAACTATGCAGCTCATTTTAACCAAACCCATCTAAGCTCGATTCCGAACCTACCTAACCTTTCACACCATCCGAATCCGAATCTAAACCATCTACAACCGATCAGTTCGACAGTTCCGATGATCGGTTCACCTAAAAGTTCCATGGAAATTGATCAACAACATCAGAAATCTTTTGGAGTAGATCTTGCACTTCAATTATCTAAACAAACTCAACAGAATGGATCTAATGGGAATAGTGTGCCTAGGATCTTGGAAAGGTGTGTGAAGGCTATTGAAAGAGCTGGTGGATTGGAATTAGTAGGGGTTTATAGACTTTCGGGTACGACTTCTAAGATTGCTAAATTGAAATCGAAACTTGATTCAGGTGGGTTCTTTTTTTCCCCTTATTCTCATTCTTTTTTTTTGACTGATTTGGGGTTTCTTGATGGGGTTGGGTTTGGTTTGGTGGGATTTTTAGATGTTGAAGGTGTGGATTTGAATTTAAAGCTTGAAAATGTTTCGGAATTGAATGATTTAACTGGAGTATTGAAACTTTGGTTAAGAGAATTACCTGAACCTTTATTGACTTGGAATCTTTATCCTGGGTTTATTGAAGCTGGTCGTAAGTTAGATTTTCTCAAAAAAAAAAGAAATGAGTTTGGAAGAAAGGAATGTGGTTTTGATGAATCGGTCTTTTTGTTTTTTTTGTAGGCATTGAGAATGATAGGTTAAGACATATTAGGTTACATGAAAGAGTCAATGAATTACCTGATCCTAATTATGCTACATTGAAATACTTAATGGGACATTTAGATAAGTTGAGTTAGAGTTCAATTTAGATTTCCATTTTCAATCATGACATTCAAACTAACCTTTCGGATGATGTTTTTGTTTTTTTTGTTTGATAGAGTAAGAAGAAACGAATCGATCAATTCGATGAGTTCATCAAATCTAGCTGTCATCTTTGGTCCCACACTTTTAAGTCCACCTAAATCAAGATCTTCAATTCCGAATCATTCGAATCAATTCCCTCAAGACTCATTACCAAATGATTTGATTGGAGTTAATGGGAATGGGAATCCGAATAATAGTAATGCTTTATTAGAAATGAGCGCTCAGTGTAGAGCGATTGAAACGATTTTAGTTCATTATAGAGAAAGTGAGTGGGATTTTGATTTCTATATTTTTGGAGGTTTGAGGAGTTTTTTTTTTTTTGATAGATGTGTTTGTCTTTTTTTTTAGTTTTTGTTGAAGAAGAAGACGAGGATCAAGAAGAAGAAGAAGAAGTGGAAGAAGAAGAGGTAGTGGAAGATGGATCAGGTGTTGGGAAGATGAAGATGAATGGGGGAAGTTTGGATCAGTCACATGATTTGACGAATTATCAGTTAAAGGAAAAACGTTCTGATCTACCTAATCATCATCATCATCATCATCAACAACAACATTCTCATCAGATCTCGTTATGAGGTTTTCTTTTCTTTTGTATGATCAGGTATAAAGAAGTTTCTTGATTATGATCATTTATTTATTTACTATAGGTTCTTTTGTTCTTTTTATAATAAATGTTTTTTGTTTTTTTTGTTATTTGGATCTTTTTGGATCTTTTTAAATTTGCAACTTGTTTTTCTTTTCAATCAATGGACAAAGTTTTTTTTTGGTTTTAATACAAAGTTTAAATGACCAAAAATTTTTATAAGATTTTTTTTTTCAAAAACGTTTTTTTTTTCAAATTGTTTTCTTCTCTTTTTTTTGTAAGATTTGAAGAAAGACAAAGAAACGATTTTTTTTGTATTTATTTATTTTTTTGTGTGTAAAACTTAAAGAATCAGAGAAGAAACTTTGGATGTCTTTTTTGCAAAAATTGCATATGTTGATTTTGATTATAGTGATTAATGAGTTTTTAAGAGTGTGAAGTTTTAGGTTTTAAACATATAACCTACATACTATTCTTGAATCAAAAAAAAGCTTTGACTCATTTGGTATTCATTAGAAAATCTAAGGATTGAAAACTAGATGAAGAGTTTAAGGTTGGATGTCATAGCTGATGAAGATCAACAAGACTGTCTTGGGGTTTTGATATACATTTTTTGAGGTAGGAAGATAAGCCTTAGAAGAATGTATGGCCCTCAAAGAAAATAGAAAGAATTCATGAAAAATGTGTTCAACTACATATCAAGAGTTTGGAAATTGAAAACTTATTTATCTCTTGATCTTCAACCTCACTCTGGAAGAAAAAAAACTACTATCTATAAGCCAAATTCAAATTAACTCTTTATGTATAAGACTGAACTTGAGAAAGAAAATCCTCTTGACCCTAAGCAATTGGATAACTTAGAACTCTGCAAAGGAATAATTAGTTTGAGATTGTGTATTACTATCTGTACTATTAGTTTTTTCAAGTTGCTTGAAATTGAATCTGTTTCCTTAGGATTTTTAAACTTGTAAAAGTTCAGTGCAGAATGAACAAAAACAAATTGGAATGTATGTATGATAATTGGGGTAAAAGAAGAATCTATGTGAGATGGATTGAAGTGTATATAATCAGTTTAAGAAATTAAGATTTGTAGGTATATATTGTACTTTGAGTTTTGCATGACATTAATCTAAACAAATTTCTTTTTTAAAGAATTCATTCAAGAGTTTATTTAATTTACAAATAACACTTTTAGAAATCAGATTTCTTTTTTTAATGGTCTACTCTGATTAGAAAACAGTTCTTTCCAATCAGACCACAAGATAAAGTTACCTTCATTTTAATTTAACTTATTTTACACGTCAATGCTGGTGTTTCTCTAAGCTTGATGGATTGGGTTGAGTAGACGAGAATTGTGTTTCGAGTGAAAGAGATTTGTCTTGGGTCATCTCTGGTAGACTGACTGCCTGTTGATGACATCGGGTACCCTGCTGTAGAACCATGACACTCTCTAACTTTGATCTCTACCTAGCTTAACACGAGCCTCACCAACCGCAGAGACGCCCCCTGGATGAACTATGACCTTCCTCATCACAGGCTCCAGAGGAGGCCCCCGTTAATTGCACAGGGTTCAAACAGTCTCGTATTCCAGGCCTCCTAAAATTTTCATGCACTTGATCGTGTTCGAGCGCTGCTACTATTCTATTCAAGACCTGGTACTTGTGACATTTGTTGATGATGGCTTCACAATTCGTTCCATTGACCATCATACTTCTTTACTTCTTATGACGTCGAGCAAAGGAAATCCAAAACACTGAAATACTTACATAACTTAAGCGAAGATCGATACTTTAAAGATATTTTCTATACGAGGTCACAAACTCAGTTCCTGGATATTACGACATTCGGACACGTCTAGGCGGTATATGGTATCGTGATACGACTCTACAAAAGACAAAGGGAACGCAGCATCGTGTTCCAGGATTTGATGACCTGAAGTAGTCGGAGATCAGCTTCTCAGTCCTGCGATTATAAAAGGGCACTTGATTTACTGACCACTCGTTCGCTATTCAATTATCTTATTGATTTGTGTTTCTAACGTGCAGAATCGGTTCGGTATGTTTCCCTGTGATTTCAATCAGCCAACCGGCTACATGATCCATTCAAAGATATCTTCAAAACTTATTTAGCTTATATCTGGTCATTATCTTTACTCTCTTGATTGGTTTAGACAGATCTCAACCTACACATAATCTTTTGAAATTTCAATTTGTTTAGGTTCAAAGTGAGTCTTGATAGATTTAATGCATTGATCTTTCTTCACGATTCTACATAACTAAAACTTGATCAATCCAAACAGATCTTTTATCATGAATCTCAAAACTCTCTCAGCCATGTTCATGATTCATGTATCATTCAATCAAGTCTTTGGCCAATCGACCTTGAGCTCGATGATAAAGAATTTCAAGAGTAATACACCCAGTAAAAGTGCTCTAACCACCCATGGTCGTACTAGTACTGTTGGTGGCACTATACATACTTCAGGAAACGACTGGTGGTGTAGCACGTGTAACCGTGAATTCTGTGGCGGGAGTGGGATGTGTGGTGGATGCAAGAGGCCTGCAAATGCAGTGCCCTCCTCCGACTGATAGTGTGATAGAGCTGTCAACAGTCACCCGGACCCGGCGCTGCCCAACAACATTTTGAGAGCGGGCTGTCCGCACCCTGTCACACCAAAACCTAGTCACAAACATCCTGCGAGCATGTTGGCAGCGCTGTTTTGTGTTTTTGCTCAATGAACAAAAAAATCAATCTTTCCAGCATTAGCTCAGTATAGCACTTTTTGATGTCCAAGTAGGCTTATTATAGCCTCTAGATCAATTTTGATACAAATACAATGGTATTATAGGTTGAACTCATGTCATTTTTGCCACATTTTGGACCTATAAAGCATTCAAAGTGTGCCCTGGTTGGCCATGAGTGATTTTTGGAGCCCCTTGGGTCTACACAGGGCCAGAGTTGGCTCCGTGACCGGCCCTATAGTGTAATGAGGGGTTTCAAGTTTGATTAATTATCATGCGTTTCTGAAGAGTTTTGCAAAAGGCTCTAAATATTGTTGCAAACTCATCCTATTTTAGTTTGTAGTGCTGCTTTAAGTGTTCCAATCTATAGTTTTTACATTACATACTAGAGAATTGAGGGCAAACCATTGCCTTTTTGTCAGTAAATTGCTACATGCAAAACATAACAAACCTCTGTAGGGAACAACTATTGCCATTGTTCTCATATAAGTCATGTGTCACTGATTGACTTGGGTTTTGTCTCTGCCTCTCTTATACATTGTATTGGGAATTACAGCATACAAATTGGGCTAATTTGCACACCATATTGTGATTCTCTCATTCATTGGAATCAAATTGTGATGCATCATGTGTAAACCTCTGCTGGTTGAAGTGGGTTAGTTACAAACTGGTCCCTTGAGTGACACACATCAAGGATAAGAGGCCCCTGGGCAGCACTGAGATAGCATACCATCAAGCTGTCAAACCAGCCTAGCCAGACAATTTATGGGGTCTCTTTTGAGTACCGGTAGGCTGGGACCATGTCTTGTGTTCCAAGAGATTGCCCTGGTCCAGGGCTATTGATTACATATACTCCTGGTTATGTACCATGTGATATTCAAGATATCCATATGTAGAAACCTGTACCAACATAGTATCAATCACAGCAGCACAGTTGCCTTAAAGGCAGACATCCAAGGAGTCCTCAGATAGCGGCCCCCCAAGGGATGACTTAAATTGAAACAAATTCCTTCCCTTTCCATGCTGTTGGATTGGTCTCTTGGATGAATCTTTGCTTGAAGACAAAATCTGAGGGATCCTTGGGATCTGGCTTTCAAGCCAAATATTCTGGCTTTTAATACCCCTTGAGTCTGGGGGGGTAGTTACAAGATGCACATCTCCACAGCCACCTGTAAGACTTGTGGTCATTACACAGACACACACATATATAGACATGTACTTAATTATTAAGCCTTAGACTTAAGTGGTTGATATACTCTTATTTCTATCCTTCAGAACCAGGTAAAGTCATTTTCACATTTTCTATCTTTCATTATTGGTGTATAGTTGTATTTTTTCCCAAGAGATATCAGGACTGATCATAGAGCCTCCATCCTTTTGAACAAGGTTGGGTTCTTGTTAGTATTCAAATGAGAACTCAGATATCTTGGGTTCTAGAAAACCCTTTTGCTGTGTTTCACAGTGTCCTTCTCAAAGTATCAAGTGAAGGTTCATAAGAACCTTACACCGCCAGACATGCTGTGGTCTCAGATGTGTGTTATATGATAGCCTGTATCTTTGCACCGCGTCTTTGTATATCACAGGTTGAGATTGTACTACACGTTTTTAAAAAGCAAACCTCGGCGGAAGCGACAGTGTTAATAGAACTTGATCCAGTAGTACCAGTACTGGCAGTGGTTTGACTGGCAGCTGGGCGTAAACTAGCTATATTAGAAGTACCAGCAGCCTATAGGTGGAATCGCGCAGGGAGTCGAGTGATCACAGTGGTCGGAGTCGCGCTTTAGCGAAAAAATGAAAAAAACTTACTTGAATACCTCCTAAACCAACCATCATAAGGGTGACCGTACCAATGAATTCTCCAAAGCTTGCCACAAGGTCAATTCTTTCGTGATGATGATGTCAAGCGGAGATGAGAAGATGGTCAACAAGGCTGAAAACCCTATGCACAAACGAAGTTGGATTTTGAGATGCTCCGTTTGCTGACTGGATGTCAGCGAGTAAATCCCGAGGTCTCCATGTGAGGAGGGAAAGGTTCATCTTGGTCTTGCGGGCCCCAGACATGTTGAAAGATGTGTATAACAAAAAAGTGGTGTTAAGGATGAGAAAAGTCAATATCTGTTGACTTGTGACGGGCAAAAGGTAAACGAAAGCGGGGTATCACGATCTCAAACTGTTGAGAGTCAAAGTATTTATTGAAGGAGATGAGCGAGCTGATAGCCTACTCACAAGTTCAGATCGACGAGTCTGACTGAACTGAGTGTTGAGACGGTGGGCTTGTTGAGGTCAGTTATATTATTATTAGTGGTCTTGTTGAACCAGCGACAGATGATTTGGCCCGACAAACATTCACCGCTCACAGTCATTAAGCTCATAGTAAGGAACACCCAAAGCCTCCTCAGTCCATATGAAGATCGACTCTGACATCTTTCACAAGGCTGGAAATAGTGCATCAAGCATTCCAAGTGGACTCAACTCATCAAACTCGCCAATTGACCAAGAAATCAAATCACCTTGTAGCAATGGTTTAAGCACTGCCCCTCATGAGTAATTCTTCTCATCTTTCTTTCTCGATCCACCTCAAACTTTTCAGAATTGAGAACTCCAGCAACGTGAGACATTTTCAAGAACACTTTTTTTCATCGTTGCCAAGAAAAAAAGTACACGAGAAGCACAATTGAATTTGGCCTAACCAACTTTCAGCAGCCACAGCTCATTGACGAGAGCCAGAAAGCTCCCAGTTAAAGGCTGGAAGGAGTCGATTTGTCTTGGGTAAAAAAAGACTCGACGCAATCCATCTCCTGGTAAGCTGTACCAAACAACGAAATCACTTGGAAATGGTTAAGCACTGCCCCTCATGACCGTCATTTCAGATTTTTATTTTCTTCCTTCCTTCTCGATGGCATCACAGTGGGTGCATGTGTCTAACGAAATCTTGACAAACTTGATCCAATCTGTACAACTCAACTCGGAGTAGTCTCCCGTGATGGTGCAAGACCGTGCGCAAAACTCAACAGCCTCATATGTACAGTCAATTGCAGAAAGCTTGCCAGATTGGTCAAGTCCTCTGGCTTCGACCTGATCCGTGCGCTCGCTTACAGAAAGTTTAGTTCCAACTTTTTTTAATTTTTTTGTAACTTTATTCCATCACCGATATCTCCATGATGGAAGTATCGGCCAACAGCTCACCTACAGTGGAACTGGTGGACCCTCACCCTCCTCGATTCTCCTCCCACTTCCCTCCCTTTCATTAGTCGATTTCGGATTTTTCTCATTTCCCAATTTCCCAATACCTCGACATATTTCCTAATGCTTCAAAATCAAACCAATGGTTTCATTAATTGCACGTAAATCATCTTATCATGCCTTCTATCACATCTATGTAATGTGGATTCTGAACCTTTTTTCTTTTTCTTTTTTTCGGCTTTGATTTTGATTTTTTCTTTTTTTTGACCTTATAGATCAAAAGCTACCCCGACTCCCTGTTCAAATAGACACCATCACAAGCAATGACAATGCTGACTTTCAAGATGATCTGAATGATTTAGGGAGGTCTTGTACAGATGATATGAATGATTTAGGGAGGTCTCGTACTCAAGCTATCTCTTGTACCAGACAAGTGTTTACTTTTTTTACAAAATATGTCCTTATGATATTTCCGTTTGTGATCTCACGACTCATAGTTCCTGGTGATGATATCATGACTTGTAGTGATTGATGCTTATGCTAGTATTTCTTCTCACGGTTTATACTTCTGGTTGTGACAACTCGTATTCTGTTCTTGTTATCATCAATGCAAGTTCAATATGTTTTGAACTTATGAGCCTACAAACTAAGAAAAATATCACTCATCAACAAGCAGAACATCAATTGGATTATTGTTTTCTTTATATCGACAAAAATATTCAACTAAACTCATAATCCTTTTTCAATCAAGTGTCAATAAAAAAAATGAACATTTCTTTCTTTCATCAAAAAAATAACTAAAATCTCAAAAGTTGTTCGAACAAATATCAATGAAACATTGTCGATTGGAAAAATAAAAAAATCAGCTAAAATCTCACAAGTTATTCAAGCAGATCCCAATGATTTTATTATCATTTGTTTGTAAATTTTTTGTGTCTAGCAATTAAAACAAACTTTCAAAAGTCTCAAAACTTGTTCGAACAAATCTCAATTTTTTTTTTGATGTTTTGTATAACAAATCAAACAAACATTTGCCACTTCTCCATTTCTGTACTGCTGATTATTAGGAGTCAGACAATCAGCCAATCAAAAGTATCAAAGAAGTTCAATATTAAAGAAACATTGGTTATAGAAGAAATTTTAAGATCAATCCGATATACATAATGAACATTTTCCTCGATTGGACAATAAACAAAATCATTTTAAAAAACAACTTATAAAGCTCCATCACTTAATTGAATTCTTTCACGTAATGATGATCAGTATAGCCACTTGAAAATAAGAGGTTGCATCAGGGACTGTGGCATTGGAGTTGGTGAAGCAAAAGTGGGCATGCGAGAGTGTCAGTTTGAAAAAGGGGTTGGGGTAGTCTTTGATCTATATAGCCAAAAAGAGAAAAAGAAATCAAAATCAACATAAAATATATGTGATAGAAGCCTGATAAGATGACTTACGTGCGATGGATGAAATGATATCTGAGGCATCGAGAAAGATAACGAGGAATCGCAAGTTCGTGAAATCAAAGAAATTGGAGAACGACTCAAGAAAGAGGGAGGGAAGTGGCAGGAGAATCGAGAATGGCAAGGGTCCTCCGGTTCCATCGTAGGTTAACTGTTGGATGATATTTCCACCACGGAGAGATTCGTGATGGAAGAAAGTTGAGAAAAAAATAAAAAAAAGTTGAATCTAAACCTTTTATAGCCGAGCGCACGGATCAGGTGCGAGGCAGAGGGTTGACCAATCTGGCAACCTTTCTGCAATCGACTGTAGTAAGTTGAGTAAGTACTTCCAAACATTCACGCTGAAGTATGTATCTTGCTGAGCGCGGTGAAGTTGCTGTGCATCGAAAGAAGTCAAATTCCATCAAGGTGAGATATCTGAATAGAGGGACTTTGTTAAGTTAAGAATTCGGTCGAAGCTTCGACCAATGACAGCTCAAAAGCAAACCTCCTCACTATTGAAGAGTTGCATATGCCCAGATCACAAACATGCCACCTCAAATCAAACATCCATCATCGGAGGCCAATATGGATTCTGAAAGCTGTGATGAAGACTCATTTTCGTCTATTGCCCGCACCACAGCTCTTGAAGATACTTTCACCACCATAGAGTTACACCCTTGGAAGAGTAAAGACGCGCGGAATATTCATCTCCCAAATTCCATGGAAGCAGACGTCGGCCACAACTCAAGAAGCTTTTCACTGTTAAACACAGATGACGATGACAAATCGGAATCAGATGCAAGGTAACTTGAATTATTGCACTCATTCCAAAAGCCTTTTACCAATTTGATGAATCACACATCAGATCCTCGAGACTGAAATCATACTGACATATTTTCTTTCCTCCTTTTACACAGCCCAGACCCCAATCCAAGATATATCTACTCAAAACTTCTCTCGCCGTACGCATGGTCGATTGTATTGGGAGAATTATGTGTTATGATCTTTGTTTTTGGTTTCATTATTGTCACAAGTCTGTGTCAAATTCCATTACCACCAAGCGTAGCCCAATGGGCAAAGGATTCTCCAAAGATGATGGCTTTTTGCGTCACGGCGATTTCAACATCTCTTTCGGTATTATGCTCATTGTAAGTTGATATATGTTTTTGTGAAGATATCAAATTTGAAGACAGTAACATGGCAGCCTCTGTAGTGGGTTTTCCAAGGCAGTACTTTTGTATACGACCGCTACTTTGACTTGGAGTCCTACTTCACTCTTTGAACTTTCAGCCGTCATTGATGTTTCAAGAGCATCATTTGTTTTTCGGAAATCTCATTTAAGGATCTCGATTATGACCGTAGCTAGTACTATTGTACTAAAATTGATGACATCCAGGTGATTAGGAATACTTGTCAACCAACTCATACCACAGGGCTGATGAATTATTCTCTTTTCTCACCATGATAGCTTTGTCACTCTTCTGACACCAACACCCATGATGCTAAGCCATCATGTGTCAGGCCAACAAATTGATTTAAGTACAGCAGAGTTTGGAAAAATGTTACACGATGAGATAGGCTGGGATGATGAAGGTAAGTTTTTCTTATTGAATGTTTTTGATATCTCATTTTGATTCCACTTTTGCGGAGCTCAGAAGGCCCCAATCCTAAGGTCAGGACACTATCTGGATATATAACTGTATCTAGTGGTATGTCAGCGGCTTTCACTCACATCGGATATCCCCGTGATTTCACGCTCAACCGAGCGACGTATTCGATCCCTACTGGTGAGCATCTTTTCAATATGGTTTTTTAACAAGTTTGAACAATTTTATGCGATTTAACAGGGGGAATTCTGGCCGCTGGACCAATGCGCTCAGTAAATCACGATCTACGTAAGGATGGACACTTGGTCGGAGATGACACTGCAGTTGAAATGAAAAAACTTTATTGTGTCGATGGAATAGCAGATGACACTGTCTTTAGCACTTCAATCAACTATACAACTTATCAAATGGGATTACGCGGAGGGGTCTCATGTAAAGCTATAGGTTCATCTGGTTTAGCAAGTTCTTGTGCTAGCATTCAACTAAATCTGTTCAAACATTGGAAGTCACCTTTGCCTCGTAATCAAAGTTTCTCTGATTGGGTTTGGAGCGGAGCTTGCCCGAATGGAACACAAATTGGTGAGCGGCCGCCCTCTAGTGGAATTTCCAGCACCCCACTGAATGTCTCTTTATGTCAGATGTGCCTACGACTACCTCCCGGTACATCCCGGGACTGAGAAACAAGACAACAGAGATTATGGGCCAAGCTTTTGCTCATGTTTGCTTCGATCAAGATTTGACCGGTGCTAAATCAACTGGAAATCATGGTGCGCAGCATTTAATTCAAACCAACTTGTTCTGCGGACCCTGAAGTATGTTCTTCAGTTCTCATTTTGGCTGGAAACGGATCATATTACGGTTTCTTGAGGCCGACTGTGTGTGAAATCCAACCGACGATTGGCACTTATCAAGTTTTGTACAATTACTCAAGTGTTACGATTAACCAAACTAGTTTCAATGCAACCCATAAGATGTCAGAAAATACTCAGGTTCTTTCAAAGTACCTTGCCATGTTGACAAAGGCAATAGTTTCTAGCTCTCAAACTATGTGGGCAAATACCTTTGCCGATGATATCTCTTCAGTGTCTGACAATGCTCCTGAGGGGCCTGAGGAAGACAAATTGGACACGATTCTGGTATGTTTCTTGTCAAAAAAATAATGCTTGATGTTGATAAGATCTGTTTGATGGGGTTCTTCTTCGGGACTGCTGGTTTCTTTCCCTCACCTCAATCAGGATGATTACTTCAACGGTGTGATAGAATTTGCGACAACAGTGAGTCATATTCCATCCAAGATGGCCTGGCGGGACGTGTTCTTAAAGGCTCTCAAGTCCAAGAACAACATATTGATTGTCAATGTACCTCAAAAGTTTTTTCGAGCCCACTTTTCTACAGACAATCGTGCACCAGATCGAAACCACTTACCAAACAACATCTCACGCGAATTTAATGGTACTTGGATAATCTCAACAATGGGATGGGATGCAAAAAGCCGTATCTTCGGACCTACCTTTCTTTCAATGGTTCCTATCATTCTGGTTCCATTTTTTTTGATCTGTGCTGTCTTAGTTGGATCTTATAAAAGGTTAATCTCATTACCTCTTCATTTGAATGAACCTATTCAATTTGATCCAAATGATATGACACAGATCATTCGCGTTGCTTGTGCTGGTAATCTTTCTGAAAAGTTTTCTCAAATGTCTGTCAATCAAGTGGGAAAAAGTTGTACAGAGAAAGATTATGATAAAGTTTGTGTTCAGTTAAACTATGATGATGATGCTCATGGTAAATTGATATGGATGGAACCTCAAAGAGTTTGACCTCTTGAGAAATTTGATTTGTATAGTAGAATCATATTCATAACCATACGAATTTAGGATACTCTCATAAAACTTATTTCTCTTCTCTTCCTTTCTTGTCTCCAATCTTTTTCAATCAACTTTGTATAATTATTTTATGTCTGTGGCCAAACATTTGACGCCAACAAATTGACAATTGCAATTCTCAATATTCACTATGCAAGACATGCCCAAGCTTTTACTATTCACTTCTACCCGACATGTATCAAAGTCATAGCGGAGACCAACTAATTATAAAAGTGTTTGAGGTGGGTCTCAGGAGCAAGCTTTACCCTTCCAATGAACCATGTATATACTGAGTATCAACTGCTTCAAAAATATTGTGTGTCAGGGATCAGAAACCACCAAATACAAGGCGAGTCATTATAAAAGGTATAATAAGCTTGGAGAGATTGTGGGATCTACAACATTTCATCACTTTCAAATCAGAAAACCTTGATGGGAGAGAAGCTGAAAGTAGATCGAAAGAGTTCTCAGCATGGGCATATCATTCCCAGAAGAACTAAGTTGACAAGCACACGAGAAAAGACAATTCAAAAATTTTGGAAAAAGTGTTAGTCATCCAACAGGTTCAAGAATCTGATCCAGGATGATGTTACCTGTCAGATTCTGAACACAAAAAAATGAATGATGATCATTCATTATACTTTTAACATGGTTTAAATACAGGGGAAGAGTGCCATAGTAATACTAATACATAACGGCAGCTGGGAAGGGAAGAAGGGTATCTCTTGTGGAATCAACAATGGTCAAATGTGTAAAAGCCAAAACTTCTTCCTCAGGCTCCAACACATAAATTTAACCAAATTCTATGATCATGTTCAACTTTAAATGTTTCAATCATTGTACACGTCCCCACACCTAGGATTTGTAATCATCAGGTTTGCAACAGGCCCCGGCCCCGCTGCTGAAGAACTTGAATGATTACGTAAACCACTGGGAGGGGACTGTACACTACAACTGATAGACCTATATGTGAAAGTGTACTCTGTTTTTTCCTTTTAAATCTATGATTCAAGATACAAGTGCCTGAAATTACTCTGAAGTATTTTTCTGCTGTGATTTTCAAGGCTCATGTTTTGAAAACTTGTGTTCCATAGAGTTCCCAACTGTCAAAAACCTGAGTTTTAAGGTGTTAAACATCAAATTTGAGGTTATGATGCTATGTAAATTGTTTTAGAAATTTACAGAAAAATGATATCATATACCATCACTGTTTGTGTGCAAGGAAATAGAAAAAAGCCAAGGTGATTTGTCAATTCTGGGGATCTAACCTGTGAGAGCAGACACTCAGCTACTCAGTCTATGGTCCTGCCACATCAAGGATGTGGAAGGAGCCAGGAGTATGAGCTGGGTGGGCTCTATAGGGGGTAAAAGTAGAGTTACTGTGGCGTAGCCATGGACCCCCCATGGATCTGCAGGTATTCAGTCATAACAATTTGAAATCCATCTAGGTTGAAAACCATTCAGAGAATTCAAGCAATAAATTTTTTGAATCCCTTTCATAGAGCCTTAGGAAGCTACTGCAAAGGTCCCTGATGAAAATGATCAAGTTTTTGGTCCCAAATCCCAAAAAAGTATTCTCATTAAAATCATCAGGTTGCATAGATAAAAGTTTTACCAAGTCCTGAGAGCTTGCAAAAAAATTCAACTTCTAGTCTTGGATATTAAGGCTTGCAAGGTTTGTTTAATGGTGGTATCATAAACACTCAGAACACAATGGAACACAGGGGATCTGTGATTATCATTAAAAATGATCCTAGTTCTGTATTGGGACCTTGTGGTGACTTGTCAAGGGACTAGAGATGAAGATGCTTGATGACTTATAATGTTATTGCAACATGAGTTTTGGGTGAACCTCTGCAATCAATAGATAAGAGCACACGGGAGTCCAAGTACAAGCATACAAGTCTATAAGCATAGTCATCAATGGGGTAATGACATTCTGTTACAGTCATCATGATTCATTAGAAAAAAGTTGACAATGTGATGTTAGGTTCTTTATGGGTTAGGAGATTTTTACACTTGACCATTTTACACTCTATATCGAGTGTAAATTGGTGGAGTGTCAACTTAAATTTTTACACTGGATCTGTGCAAAATCCCCAAGTGTAAAAAATGTTGTGTAAAGTTGTAAATACCCAGGGCCAAACTACAATTTTACACATGATTTTTCACACTCCTTTTGCTGTGTAAACAACACCGGTGCAAAATTGGACATATTGCTGCAGAAGTGCAATTTTGCACTGTAATCCCTTGCACTCCATCAGCAGTGCAAATCCTTGGAGTGCCAATCTCCATCTACACCCCCCAAAGTACAATTTTGAACATCAGAAGGTGGGCAAATTTCTTTGGACAGAGTTTTTTTCCTTTTTGATATTTGACAAGGTGGCTCCGACATTCTCTGACATCACCTCACAAGATCCCATTTTTCCACCACTTAATCATCCTGTTTGTATTTCACTTTCACCAAGGCCTCCATTCGAGCTCACAAAAACAACACCAATAACAAATACTCAGAGATAATGGAAAGAAATGACTCCTGCGCTTACCTTTGCAATCATGATCATGATATTTGTTTGAAGAAATTGAAGCACACAACCTGAACAAGCAAACAAATTAAAGAAAAAAACCAAGACATTTACCTATTTTTTATTCTTCCCAACAGGCTTAGCCTGGCGCTTTGATTTAGCCTCTGAATCCCCCCCTTGTTTGCCAGCATCCAGTGATAGATGTCCTTCTCCTTGGCCTTTATTAGTGCTTTTGCTGGACTTAGTACCTTTTGTAGAAGACTTCTTCTGCGGTGACAGTGAAGGTGAAGGTGATTTGATTGGACTGGACTGAGGGGCTGGATATTTGATACGCAGGCAGGTGTCCACTTACGTTGTAGTACTTATAGCACAACAAGGGCTATACAGTGCTTTGAAAGAGGATAACCTGAAGATATAATAGATCTAAAGAAGGTGTCTGAGACTGATCTTTCTGAGAATATTTAACAAACTGGACTTTGTTGTTAAAGTCTCCTGATAACAGAGAAATATAAGGGTCAATAGATTTTTACACTCAACGATTTACACTCAATATTGGGTGAAAATTCCATTGAGTGTAAAAATCAATGTGTAGGGGGGTCAGATGCAATTTTACACTCAATCTGACTGATTTTCTGAAGTGTAAAAAATCATGTGTAAATTATTGAGTGTAAAAATGTAAAAGAACATGACCAAGTTACACTTTTGCCCTCTATCTTTCACATACAATAGCCGTGTTCAAACCTAACCCGGTTGACACAAAAACCCGGTTACCCAGTTGCTTTTCTGGTGGTAACTTTGTGTATCCATTGACAGTTCTTGACAGCTTCCAGCCAAAAATTCCACCGGGTCAACTGGGTTTTTTGAAACCGGGTCAGGTTTGAACGCGGCTAATATTGAGGGCAAAAAAAGTTGAGTGCAAAATTAAATTTTGACAGGCATTTCTCCACTTTTGCACTCTTAGCATTTACACTCAATAAGAAGTGCAAATCATCCAAGTGCAAAATTCCAAAGGGCTACCTCACAATTACAATTTTACACCTTACTTTTTGAGTGCAAAAAACTCTTGACTTGGGGAAAAAAACACTAAGTGACCCAGCCCTTCCCACATCACATACTTTCCCAGCAAGACACCTTCTTGCTGCATAATCAATAAACATGGCACAATGAGTTCCACCACTGAATCAGCCAATATGTATTTCATTGGGGCCACCATAAAGATCTCAACACACAAATAACAAGAGATCAAATAGAAACTTGATGACTTCCGTGCTTACCTTTGCAATCATAGCCATCCTTTAAAAAAATAGAAATGAAAAGCTTCATGACAAGATTTTTTGCTATTTATTTCTCCTCCACTTTGGCTTAGCCTTGCCCTTCTTCACAGCCTCTTGCACCACTTCTGGTCAACTGAGTTCCTTATCTGTCACTATAGTACATTTCTTGGCCTTGGCAACGTTCTCGGCTGTGCAGGCGGAGGAGACAGAGACTTGACTGGGCTAGCTTCTGCTGGCCGCTTGATAAAAAAATGTAGGATCAGGCACTCCCATGCCAGTTTAGATGGCTTTGGCTCTTTGACACCATCAGTCATCAAGTATACTCGCCGGTGCATAAGTCACTTGATGAAAAGGTTTGGTACAATCAAAAGTTGAGAGAGGACCTGAGAGAGAAGACAAAGAAAGTGTTCAGATATATGATACAAACCAGAAGCAAAGAATCTGACTTATTATCATCAGTTTGGCCAAATGCACGTCGGGATTGATCACTCTGTGATAATTGTAATCAAGTCATCTTCAAAATCCGCAATATCATTACCATTGTTGTTGTGAACTGAACAACCAGGTCAACATACCAGGGAGGAGAGATGCGACTGGCTTGTCCAAATTGAGGCCTGGTTCAGTCTTGACTACTGAGTAGGCAGAGTAATATCAGGTTAATGTATGTAAAAATAGATGACACCACACATATTGTCTAACTTACTTAACTACTGTTAGAATACAAAGTATAGTTTCAAACATATCAAAGTATATTATCTCCAACTTAAACTACATTACATCAAACTCAGATAAATCAAACTCATTTATAATCAAATACAAAGTTTAATTCTTCAAACTCAGACCTAATTCATCAAGATATCTAACTTGACTAAATATTGTCACTGAATCACATCTAGATTTGATCACACACCCTGCACAAGCCTCTCTTCCTCACCAGCTCACTGAGTTCTCATTTTTTATCACATCTATATTAAATATAGTCCAGATAACTCACTCTATCATGTTGTTTAGATTATCATACACACTGTTTGTTGTCACCTTCATGGGTGTGTTACCTTTTTTCACGGTGTTAAGAACTGTTAGACGTATAATAGCCTGATTGCTGGCTTCTACCAAGTTTCTTGAGTTTCAATGATTTCTCTCAACTACTGGCTCA